TGGAAAGACACACATCCTTGCAGTAACAGGGAGACTCTCTGGGGATTGCTCTGACCGGGACACTTTCATGTTCCCTATATTTACATTTTTCATAGTGGTGTGTTTAATCAGGAAAATGGGGATATTTCCATTTTCTAAAAGGCGTTTGGGAATATGGACACAAGGGCAGAGGTCCTGGTGAACTTTGTGGAGGTAACAGCTCGGAGCCGGGCCTCTGCAGATGGGGAGGATTCAGGACACTGTCCTCACTGCTCTAGGGGGTTGGGGGGAAGCTGCACTCATGACCATGAGGACCCAGGTCTGGGGAAAGGACCACAGTGCGGACACACACATTTAACTAAAACCATCGCTTGGATCCAGGATGCCAGCAGGTCCAGGCTGGACGGGGTAGGGGTCAGTGCGGTCAAGGCCATCCCAATCCCTGAGGTTTTTCTTGTCTCAGCGCAGCCCTGGGCTGGCAGTGAGGGAGCCAGAGGATGAAGATTGAGGAAGAGCCTCCATGGTTGGGGCCTGGACACCTCACTGCCGCCCCCCCTCATGCTCCAGGCCCAAGACCCACTGATCTGTGTCCCCAGTGCTCACATCACCCCTGTAGATGCCTCCTCTCCCTTCCCCAAGCCAGGTAGCCAATGGGAGGCCTGGGGCCAGTAAGACAGGGATGCTATGGGGTGGGAAGCAGGGGAGGAGGAGGAAAGGGTAGAAAGACAGGAAGAGGTAGCTACACAGAGAGAGACAGACAGAGGGACACAGAAAGACTCAGAAACACACTGAGAGACACAGCGAGTTAACTGTGCATGCACACACACAAAAAGGTCATTAGAGAGACAGAAAGGGGGACAGAATGAAGGGGAGAGAGACAAAGGGACAGAGAGAGAGGCAGAGAGAAATTAAGGGCAGGACCCACATTCCACTCATTGGCTTCCTAGGACCAGACAGGGCCACGAGGACAGGGCAGGGGGTGGACAGGGAAGACAGAGCTAGAGACAGGGTCTGAGTGTCAACATCACGAAAAACGAGCATTCGCTATCCCTTGCTGCATGTTTAGCGCCACACTGCATGTTGCAGAGAGCAAAATGCAGGTCCAAGTCCCCACACTAGGAAAGATTCCTCAGAGGCCGAGGCGGCCTTTCCCAGGGCCAGGCGGCTGATCAAGGCCCCCACAGACTGAGATCACCAGGGGTGGCTTAGCAACAGGGCTGCATTTGAGCTGCCTCTTGAAGAGCAGGTGGGAAGAAGGGACACGGGTGTTCAGTGGAGGTGGGAAGACACATGTGGGTACAGTTAGGAGGGCCTTGGATGCCAAGCCAAGGAGCTGAGGGAGCCTCGGTCACACGGGGGAGTGAATAATGGAAGCTGTGCGTTGGGGAAACCCGGCCCGGAGAGCAGCAGAAGGCTGCAGGCACTCCTGACCCTCCAGGCCCACTCCTGATGCCCACTGTTTGCCACTACCTTCCAGCAACCCCACACCGCCGGCCACACCGGACTGCTTCTCACCTCCGTGTCGTTCCCCATGCGTTCCTCTGCCCGGAAGGCCCTCCCCGTCCAAAGCCTTTCGTTGGCAAACGCTGAAACATGGCTTAAACTCTTCTCCAGGGCTTTCTCTTCCAGGAAACCTTCAGGCAAGAGGAGGTACCCCTCCCGGCACAAAAGCCAACATGAACGCTCCCCCGGCTCAGCTGAATCAAATCATGTTTTTGACCGAGACCAGAAAACATCATTGGCTCCATCTGTGTCTTGGCCTTACCACACCCAGAATTTGCCTGACCTCACCGGACACCCTGCCAGCTGTCAGGCATCAGTATCCACACCCTGAAGAGAGGAGGGAACGGGCAGGGGAGGGATGGGGTGACAGCGCAGGGCACATTTGCCTAGAGGTGCTTTGGGCTGGCTGGTCACAGAGCAGTGACTCACTCCCCAGAGAGGAGGGGAGCGAGAGGCACTGGGGACAATCGCTGGGCATCCGAGCCTTCGTGGAGAGCTGGAGGTTCTTGGAAGAGAAGGACCTCCTGGGGATCGGACGCACCCCCAGCACTGGCCAGGAAGGCGGCTGAGGCCTCACTGCCCACACCCACCAGGCGGGAGCCATGGATAAGTTCCGCATGCTCTTCCAGCACTTCCAGTCCAGCTCCGAGTCGGTGATGAACGGCGTCTGCCTGGTGCTGGCCGTGGTCACTGTCAAGCTGTACTCCTCCTTCGACTTCAACTGCCCCTGCCTGGCGCGCTACAACACCCTCTACGGCCTGGGCCTTCTGTTCACACCCCCGCTCGTCCTCTTCCTCTGCAGCCTCCTTGCCAACCGGCAGTCTGTGGTGATGGTTGAGGAGTGGCGCCGGCCCGCGGGGCACCGGAGGAAGGACCCAGGCATCATCAGGTGTGCAGTCCCATACCACCCAGAGGCCTGTGGGCATTGTCAGGCCCCGCCCACGCCTGCACAGGCACTGCCAGGTGCACCCCAAACTCTGACCTTCCCCCATGGGCATTCTCAGGCTCCCCACTGGCACAGGAATTGTCAGGGACACCCCCAAACCCTACCCTTCCCCCATGGGCATTGTCAGGCTCCCCACCCGCACAAACACTGCTAGGTGACCCCCAAACCCCCATCACCCCCATGGGTGTTGTCAGGGCTCCTCACCTGCCCCCCCGACTCCAGGCACTCTCACATGTGCCCCCTCCTTTCCCCAACTAAAGCATCATCAGCTCACCAGACCCATTTGCAGTTTCCACTCTGGAAACAGACATTTCTGTTCCTGTCCTTTGTCTCCCTTCTGTGGCCAGTGCTAGAGACACATGAATGATCCAGAATTCCCCATAATTTCCCAGGTCACATCGATCACGCTGCCATGGATTATACCTCACCACACGTGTGAAGGGCCATCCCCTGACATGCATAGGGGCTTTGCCTGTAGTGAGAGGCATGCTTGGCTTAAAGGCTGCCTCCCTCTCCCATACACTCCCCAGGGCAGCTCTACTGTCCTTAGAGCCTCCCACCTGGTGGGTGCCCTCTGTCAAAACCAGTTGATGGAGTTTAGCAATTTGAATTGCTCCCTGGTCAACACTAAACATCGCCTTGGTGCCAAGCCCTGTGTGTGCACGGCCTCTGGATTCTCACCTCAGCCCTGGGTCTGCTCCTATTAGGGTCCATGTCTAAGGATGAGGGGCCTGAGGCACAGAGAAGTTTAGTAACTCAGCTGAGCTCCCACAGGTAGGAAGAAGCACAGCTCACTCCGTTGCCCTGCGTGTTTTCAACAAAACGTCTAAGTGCTCTAGACCCATGGGCAGTGGCGGGAGGAGCTTGGTGAGTTTTCGCCCACTCATGATCTCCTCTCTGCTCTATGCTTTGGCAAGGACCATTGAGGTGTCCTCAAGGGTATGTAAGGCAATGTCATGAGAAGCCCTCAGTTCCACCTTCTGACTACACTGCCCCCGAAGAAAATGCTGGAGCTGCCCCTGCCTACAGCGTATTAATAATTCTCTGCTGGGCAGGCCATGCACACATGCGCACACACGTGCGCATACACACACACACACACACACAGCATACATCATTTTATGTTTGTTACAGTGCAAGTTAGAGACATCTGCATCCTGTGCACAAGCAGCCACTATTTCACGTTCCTCAGGGGCTCTGTGCTCCCTGTCATCCAGCCACACAAGGAGAGTCACATACACTGGGCGTGCCCGTGACCTTTTCCTCTGGGAGTCAGTGGTTGCAGCTCCACTAGGCTCCTATCCTGGGACCAACACCCCATGCAGGACAGAGAGGCGTGGAGTGGGTCAGGGGAGACACCTGGACAGTCAGAGAGTGGGCTCCCTGGATGCTAGGAGAGGTGTTGGAGGTGCTACGTCTGGGAGGGACATTGGGCAGGGCTGTCTGAGTTTAGGCTTCCCTCGAAAGCAGGCTCTGGGAAGAATGTGATAATGAATAGGCAACTGGAGTTCAGCCCTACTGGGGACCCTCTAAGAGAGTGTGTGGGACACACCTCAGAAATGGCACACTGAGGGTCTAGGAAGATGGGGTGTTTATCCACCAGGCCCCATCCCTCCTGGGTTGAAGGTTGAATTGGGTTTGTGAACTTTCTATCGCTTGCAGCCTAGCCCTCAGGCAGAGCCATGCAAGTGGTTGAGGCGGCTGAGGCGGAGGCCCTCTGGCCTCCATGTGAATAGGAACTATCCTCCAGCAGAGTCTGCTACCAGGCCCAGAGCAGGAAGAGCCCCAGCTCCCAGTGTGCAGTCCTGGGACTCCCAGGGCCCCCAGCCCTCCTTCCTCCTTGCCCTCTGCCACTGGCACCCCTGCAGTGGAAGCTGCAGCCATTCCTTTGGTGTAACTACGACTAGTATTTCCCAGCCCTCCTGGGAAGTCCATCTTTGCATCTCCTGTAGCCTTCCTGCTTCAGCTGAATTCCAGCTGCCCTTTGTGACCCCCCCCTTTCCTCTGCTCCCAGGTACATGTGCTCCTCTGTGCTGCAGAGAGCGCTGGCCGCCCCCCTTCTCTGGATCCTGCTGGCCCTCCTTGATGGGAAGTGCTTCGTGTGTGCCTTCAGCAGCTCCGTGGACCCTGAGAAGTTTCTGGACTTTGCCAACATGACCCCCAGCCAGGTTCAGCTCTTCCTGGCCAAGGTGCCCTGCAAGGAGGATGAGCTGGTCAGGGACAGCCCTGCTCGAAAGGCAGTGTCTCGCTACCTGCGGTGCCTGTCACAGGTAATGTGGACAGTCCTCTCCCGAGAAGCCTCCCACTATCCTGCGTGGGTTCCGAGGGGTGAGGAGGTACAGGTGACGATCTGAAGCCCCTCCCTACTGCTGGAGACACAACCAAGGAGCAGGTGGTCCCCAGGGGGGTCAGGAGCTTGACTCATGTACAGAACAGTGTTGGGCCCTAGGAAGTGGGCACTTGGTCATCAATGCTGACTCACCCCAGGACAGAGACCAGGTACCCATATCCTCCGGGAGTCAGCTAGGCCCGTCCTCAGGGGGCTGGATGGCAGAAAGCACTGCAGATACACTGCTCTGTCCACCCCATTCTTTCCATCCCTCAGAAATAATACGAATTACATATATATATATATATATATATATTTGATTTTTTACAGAGAGGAAGGGAGAGGGATAGAGAGTTAGAAACATCAGTGAGAGAGAGAATCATCGATCAGCTGCCTGTTGCACACCCCTCACTGGGGATGTGCCCGCAACCAGTACATGCCCTTGACCGGAATCGAACCCGGGACCATTCAGTCCGCAGGCCGACGCTCTATCCACTAAGCCAAACCAGTCAGGGCCGAATTACCCTTTATTGAGCACTTATGTGTCAGGCACTGTGTTAAGCATTTCATATGCATTCTTTCATTCAATTCTCAGAACAACCCCATGAGGTGGATGCAGTCACTATCATCCCATTTCACAGATGAGGAAGTGGAGGCTCTGAGAGTTTAGCTCACTAGGCCAAAGTCACACCGCTTGGAAGAGGCAGGACAGGGATCTGAATGCACACTGTAACTCCTGACCCTCTTAACCACCTCCATATAATGCAGGTTCTCCCTAGGTGCCTGGCTCCCCACAGGGTATCAACTCCATTATCCTGGGAACAAACCCCAGCCCAGACTCTAGATTCTACCACCTCCACTCCCAGAGCCTCAGGCTCGGCTGTGTCCTCCAAAAAGTATTTACCTGAACCTATACATGCCCAGTATCCCTGGGGCCACAGAGAATAAAAACATGACCCCAGCCCTCTGTGGAGCTGAGACCCGCTGGTGGCAGATGCAGGCCCGTGGGGCAGGGCAGAGAGGACCAGTGCTCAGGATGCACTGATTCTGCTTCAGGCTGTGGCCTTGGCCCTGTCACTCTCCCTCTGGGCCTCGGTTTCTCCTGCAAAATCAAGGGAAGTTTGGTCTCCTTCACTTGATGGTCCCTGCAGGCTGACACACTCTAGGCTTCACCAGCTCCTTGGAAAGAATGTAGAATTTTCCATCAGACCAGGGTTGGAGTCCTTACTCCACAGCTGTACGTTTATCAGGCACATTAAATGCTCCTAGAATGTAAAATACTCACACAGTATTTTACACTGGTAAGCGGGGAGGATTCTGTGAGAGGCCAAAAGAGGGATTGTAAATCACATCTACAAATGATAAGAATGCAAATATGTCTTTGTGTGAGGGGAGTGAATTTTCAGTTCCAGGTCCACACAGTTGCTCTGGTTTGAAGCGAGGCCTTGAAGAGACTGTCGCTATGGATGGGCAGAGAGGAGGGAGACTCTCCAGCCTTAGACAACTGCCTCTAATGGTTTCTCACTCTTGGCCTGGAACACTGTTCCCTGTTTGTATCCTGCACAACTGTTACTAACCCTTCCGGTCTCAGCCTAAACCTCACTGTTCCCTGAGCCCTCCAGTTCAGGTTGGGCAAATTCCCATGACTCCCTGTACATCCCTTAACATGGCACATAGCCAGTCATCGTCTACTAGTTGTTTCCTCCACTTAAGTGTGAGCTCTCTGAGAGAAAAGACTGGGTCCCCAGTGCTTCCCCCAAAATATAGAATAGATGGATGCATAGACAGGGTGGATAAATATATGTGAGGATGGATGGAGCACTGAATAAAAAATTAAAGGATGATGGATGGATGGATGGATGGATGGAGTGTAGGGAAGGCAAAACTTTACTTCTTCCCACCTTAGGTTTTCAGCTGAGATGCTAACAAAAAAAAAATTAACAAAAGGAAAACAGTGTATTAACATGTGCAGTGGACACCATGCAGGAGAAACCTAAACCAAAGAGTAACTCAAAGTGGTGGCTTAGAATTCTGGCTTATATAGCACCTTCAGCAAAGAGTAGTATCTTTGTAGAGAAATGACAGGACAAAGGAAAGCGGTTTTAGGCTTCCAAGGGCAGAAACTGTGGGAAGGTAAATACATGAGAGGAAGCATGGAGTTTCTTACTCCTTAATAGAGTAAGGTTTGCTCACACGTTCCTCTGGTGCTGCCTCTGGGCTGATAAGAGTCTGTCTCCAGTAAAAGGAGAATTTATATCTTGCCTTTAGGCAGAAAGGGGGAAGGTAGAAAGAGCTTCTCCTATATTTACCGCTTCTTAATTTTCTTCAGCTCAAAATAATTTTATGTCCAAGAGGCCTACTTTAGAGTGATCTATTCTGATTTCCAGAAGAAAAGTTGGGAGGATGAATGGTGGGTACATGAATGGTTAGGATAGGCAAATTGCAGGAAGGATGAGAGTATCAGAACGGGAATGGATGGGAGAATAGGTGGCTGGATAGGAAGATGGATGATGGACAGGTGGAAAGATGGTTGAGAGGATGTCTGGATAGGAATATAATAGATATGTAGTCATATGGGAGGATGGATGACTGGATGGATGCGGGGAGAGATAGCTGGGGAAATGAATGGATGCAAGGATGAGATGATATTGAAGGGAGGATGGATGGAGGTTGTTGGTTGGATGGATGACTAAATAGGAAGATAAATATATCTGAGGAGGAATGGAAGAGATAAAGGAAGAGACTGGAACACCTGTGCCTGCCACCCCATTCAGCGCTGTGTCCCGCCCACACCTAACCTCATCTCCCCCCCCCCCCGCCCCCGCCCCCAGGGCATTGGGTGGAGGCTCACCCTGCTGCTGATCGTGGCGGCCTCCCGGCCCGCTGCCTTAGGGCCGTGCTTGACCAGACGGTCTTTCTGGAGCGCAGATACTGGAGCAAATATATGGATCTGGGGGAGAAGCCTCTTCCAAGAAACGTGCTGTGAGCCTGCGCGGGACTTCGCGCAACTCT